GTGTGGAATATTCTTATTATTATGATAATTAAATTAATCGCGTTATCAATTTAAAAAATCAATTCACTACTCGCAGGAAAATTACGAGTAACATTTGAAGAATTCATTTACTAGACTGTCGTTTTCACTCGGGCACGTATCGCTGGAAATTTTAGCAAATGTAATTTCGCATTTTGTTATAATTAAAAGTTGGTAGAAAAAAATGTTGTAGGTAATACGATATGTATTCGTGCGGTTACCTGAGCGGAGGTGAGAAATGAGTCAGCTCTCGTTATGGAATTAGATTTTATGTCGGACAGCAAACATGGCATAACAAAGCCAAAGAACTTTCTTCTTACGGGCATCACGTCTCTTCCGCAGTGTAGAAATCTGTCCCGAGAGGACCATGAACCCCTTGATCTGCAGGAGATCTCCTCGTTTCTAGAATGCTAATCGATAAATCGTTTATATCTGAACAGTCAGTGCAGTCTGAAATTAAATCCCCTGGGCGATAAATTCGGTCTGTCCGTTGAATACTCTTATCATTTCGCAAAAAGGTCAGGCCTAAAAAAAATCAAAACATCGCGTGCTTTTCCGCGGAATGGAAAAAAAAATTTGGAAAGGGCGCGAATTTTTTGGCGGATTCGCAAGTGCTCTGACGTGATTGATCATTTCATTGTCGTGTCTACATTGATCTTCCATTAGAAGTGGTACATCGTAATGACAAATCGATCTCTTGATGGAAAAGGGATGAGTTATGAGTCGATTGACGACTTTAGTTGGAAAGTTGGGAACTTCTAGAGAACAGAGAAATACGCGAAAAAAAATAATTGCCTTGTAAAATCTCACCGTCGATACTTTCATTTTTTACGGAATCACCCCCCAACTGCAGAAGTTATCATCATTCACAACCATTATGAAGCCCTTGAGGAAGATGCTTATTTTCTCAAGTGCTTCATTCCCCCTTTCGAATCGAAGTATTTCGATAACGACCTCCAAAGGCATAATCTGAGTTTAATGCAGTCAAAACTCCAGTGGATACTCGAGAAAAATAATTATACAATAATAGAGAAAGATATTGAGGATTTTTCCACTTGTTCGACATCATTACTGCAATTGGCCAATTTATAAGTTGCTGAAATATACAATTACTATCGAGATCGAGAACGAAATGGCCAGGTAATCTGGAAAATCTCTTATTGTCAGTCCGTGAACATCTTCACTTCCATGACCCTATTTTGAAAGTCCAATATCTCCGTGGCACCCGGGCGTTTCCACGACGAGAAGTCTCGAGAGGCTACTCAAACCTCTTCCACGAGGGCCTTCTTGGATTTAATATCGGGCATCCTTACCGGCGAATGAATTTTCAAAACTTTTTCAATTTTTTCCGCGTCTAACGATAACATCCATTAAACGTCCATTCACATTCACATGCATATCGCCAGTCGAGCGAGCAGGAAAATACCCATGAAATTTTCATCTTCCCATTTTCCCGCGCTTCCCAATTCAGTGCATTGCAGCCCAATGAGCGATGAATTCAAGAAAAATGGACAGTCTTCGAGTTGCAATTGAATTGATCAATTGGATTGAAATTTTTTTTTTTGAAACAAAAAAAATCGGGAAACAAAACAATTGTATTTTTGGGAAATGTTTTGAAAAATTTTTCAAAAATCTGTTTCGCAAAATTTTTTTTATCATTTTCTAGAAATTTTTGCGAATATAATTTTTTTTAAATTATACTGTGGTTTTCTTACTTTTTAAATTTTTCAATATTCTTAAAGAATACGCCATCGAAATTATAAAAAAAATTTCCTATTTACATTTTTGGAAAATTTTTCAAAACCTTTCCCAAAAATAAAATTGTTTTGCTTTCCGATTTTTTTTCATAAAAAAAATTTTCTGAAAAGTTTCCCAGAAATTTTTTGAAAAATTGAAAAAAATATTCCGATTCCAATTTTTTTACGCGGGTACTATTTCCCATTATTAGCGTATGACCCTTTATAAAATCAAAATCAATAACTTTAATGAAATCCATTGATTTCCCGAAAAGCCATCCGCACGTCGGTCAATCGAAAATGGAATAAAATCGGTTATCATCAAAAACATTGACCAGATAAATTGAAAGGATGCATCCAGAAACCGTCACTATCAATCACTCCGAATTAATAAATTAATAAATGCAACTCACTCAGCAAAATGGAAAATTAACGATGTATGATGTTTGCCGGTGGAATGATGAATTACATTGTACCGCAGAAATTTGATATTTTATGTCCGATTGCCAGAAACCGATGACAATGCTTTCAGGGCACATACCCCCAAGTTGTTGCCACTCTCTGGCATTACTATATATTCGCGCAGAGGGATGCGTTTCATCCCCCCGTCAATCAATCGATGACTGTTCCGTTATACCCTATTAAGTGAGTAAATAGCTCCCGTGTGGAATCCTTCTGATGCTACAACGTGTGGTAAGCCGTCGAGAGGGTGTTCCCAATCGATTTGTGTGACCATCCCAGTTCGATATATCTACCCCCTTCACCCTCCCACCACCCACTCCCTCCACCCTACCAGTTATCGTAAATATTTTGATACTTCAGCCCCGATATTAATCAAATTAATTGGTTTCTATAATTAACCTGGTCTTTCGAGATATTTCGAGGCATTTCGATATATTTCGAGAAATTTCGAGATATACAAAAATATCATTTGTTTGGATGAGAATAGATTGAATAGATAATTCTTATCATTAAAAAATGATGACAATGCCCGATGAAATCTGTATGTATTTCGCTCTGGGTACGACAGCATTCACTTGGTAATATATTATATACCACGGAGAAAGAGGGAATCCCACTTGTCCGGTAGCGGGAGTGACACCGTGAAAGGGCCGTTAATGTTGAATGAAGGAAAAATGCTTTTTCGACTCGGCTTGAAGTCTGAGGGAATTAGGATGCTACGACAAGCCATTTATTATGCACCCTTGACATCATTTGCAGAAAACGTCTGCTGGAAATGAATTCATAAATTTCCGAGGGGTAATGGTTATTTCAGGTTGCCCGGTGTCATAAACTGACAATCTGAGCGACGAATCGTCGGTGCATTTTGCTGTACGATATTAAAGTCCCGATTGATTTGATAGAAATCGGTATGGGATTTGTCATTCTCTCATTGGAAGTTCTCCCCTCTCCGAATCGAATTGAAATCAATTAGAACTCCTAAGATAGAATAAGAGCATAAAATCGATCGGAAAAATAAAATTTCTATCAAATTCGAGATAAAAAACCGACCAAAAACAAAATAAAATAGCGATTCCCCATAATTTCAAAATCACAAACGAATTTGATGATTAAAAAAAAAATCGCAACGATTGAGGTACATAAAAATTAAAGCTCTTCTTATTATCTTTTTATTATTATAAATCAAATTATATATTATTATTAAATTATATATTCTGTCAACTATTCCCCAGGACTAATTTCGATTCCGAGAGTGAAATATTTTTTTATTTAAATCTGATGATAAAACCGCATATTCTCTCGTCTCTTTGTGTTGTTCAATTATTAATTTCTCCAGTTCTGAGGGGCAACCCGTAGGCTAGTGTAAAGGACATGCACTGATGTAAAACTAAATGAGTCCTCAGCAAATATTGAAAAAAAAAACGGGGGTCGGGGAATAGAAAGGAGGGAAAAATGTGCCAAGCTCCCTGGAACGATTGGATCGTTCTAATAACCAAGAGGAAGTAGGATGAAAGGGTATTCCCGTTGTTCACCGGTTGGTCGGATGCATTTTGTCCTTTTGACGGGTTGTTCCCCGGCATCTACTAGCACCGGCTTTGTTTTCACCAAGGGTGATTAAAAAGTCGCCCGAGACGGAAGGGAAAAAAATATGCAGGCGGATTTTTTGGATAGAAAAAAACACAACAAAAAATAATCCGTTAATCCGACGATTTTTCATAATGTATTTTCAATTTTATAATCATCTCATTACCCGGGTAAAAAGAAATTGTAATCGGAATATTTTTTCCAAATTTTCCTAAAATTTTTGGAAAACTTTTCAGAATTTTTTTTTATGAAACAAAAAAAATCGGGAAACAAAACAATTTTATTTTTGGGAAGGCTTTTGATATATTTTTCAAAAATTTAAATAGGAATTTTTTTAAAATAAATTCGATGGCGTATTTTTTGAGAATATTGAAAAATTAAAAGAGTAAGAAAACAACAGTATAATAAAAAAAAAATTATATTCTCAAAAATTGCTAGAAAATTATTAAAAAAAAATTCAAATTCTTTAAAACATTTCCCAAAACAATTTCTGTTCCCCCATTTTTTTTTGTTTCAAAAAAAAAAATTCTGAAAAGTTTTCCAGAAATTTTTTGAAAATTTGGAAAAAATATTCCGATTACAATTATTTTTTTACCCGGGTATTTTCATTATTAGTTCCGGTTAATTCGATTTTTCGTATTGATGATAATTAATCTGGGGAATGTGTTCAGGGATTTTTTTCGTTATCTCTGATCGACTGCAAATACGAGAAAATCCGTTCTACAATCGATTGTACGGGATTTTGAATCGAATGATTTGTGAGTCACGCAAGTGTTCTGATGACATCATTTGGAAATCCCTTTGTATTTTTCGTATCCACCGCACGAATCCGTGAGTTATTGATGTATGAAGATAACGAATGACCTAATCACAGAATAATTACGCGAGAAAAGAAAATATTCCCCATCAAAGATCGGTATTCAATCATATGAATCCTAGACATTTTTTCTGTCTAGTCCCACTGAAATCGTTTAATCTATAAATTGAATCAAAAAACGTTCATTAACAAAAATGAGATTAACCGATGACGAAAGCCCAGGGAATGTTGCAGAGAATTAAATAATAATAAATAAATATAATAAATAACTATAATAATAAATAATAATAAATATATTAATTATCTGTTTAAATAATAATAAATAAATATAATAAATAAATATAATAATAAATAATAATAAATATATTAATTATCTGTTTCAGCACAGCGATCGGTCTACCCCCGTTCTTCTGATAGTCTCTCTAGCTGGGATCAAAGTATGCAGTCCAGATGGCAAAGTAAGTGTGAAAAAAAGCCTCAAAATAAAAAAAAACACCTCAACTCGTTCATACCAAAATGGAAAAACAGTGATAAACGAGAGTAGTAAAAGGAGGAGAGAGCGAAAAAAAAAAATTGACACAGAGCTCTCATTTTCTCGCACATCTCTGTCGGAAAAACGAGGGAACAACAACAAAAGAAGTCGGTCAAGCATTTGGCAATCTCACAGCCGATTTCCATCTGCTTTCCGACCTGTTTTTCCATTTTTTTTTTTCCCTTCTCAACCGCTTCCTGTGTAATCCTTTGGGAAATTCAAATCGCGGTGTCGTTGAGCGTCAAATTTTGAAAAAAATAAAGGACCACGGGGTTGGTCTTTGATTTACCGATTTTAACGTGTCACTTTGCCTCGTGTCTTTTTTTTTCTCTAGACACATGAGTGATAACCGGGAATTGGGGATCCAAGTCGATCCGCTTGTTTGCTTTATTCGTCTCTCTAGTCTCGGTAGTTCCGGAGGGTAAATTTTCGGGTAGATGTCTGCTCGGGGTGCAGATAAAAGAGGTAGAACCATGGGGTTTCAGAGTTTCTATTCCCCTGAGAGTTTTTCGGTCCTGTGATTGGCAGTACAAGTAAACGATCCTCAAACTAAAATCTCTGTACGATACAATTCACCGATAATACCCCATTCCTTTCTCTCTAAAGAAGAGTCGATGAAAATTAATAGAAGTCATTGATTTAAATATCAATCGATAATCCTCAATGAACAAATTAAACAGGCTTGACCTGTTATGATTAATTATTTTCAATTATTGAATAATTTATTTGAATTATGAGGTTCTTGGTATATAGTACCGATTAGAGAGTATTTAAATCGCGTATTTAAAAAAATGGGAATTAAAGAAAAATGCGTTGAGCTAGTAGTGAAGAGCGATGGAATTACGTACTTGAAAGTGAGAATTAAAAATAATGGGTGAATCAATTGGAGGATGTTGAATGGGCGAGTGAGGGTGGCAAACAATGGCACGTGTTGGCGGATACGTTTCTATAACATTCTGGATAGGGATTTATGGGTGCCTTTTCTCCCTGGCAAGTGAAGAGGAATCGAGAAGGGTGGTCTATGTGTGAATCCTCCCAATTCCACCCCATGTACGCCTTTCCAGCCACTTGGAACCGGATAGAGGATAGAATTCAGTGTAAGTGATTACGCTCTGTCTTGGTCACGACGGGATGTACCCATCAACCCACATAAATCACTTCGTGGCTCATGTATAGCTTTTGCTATGGTTCACGAGACGAATCATCACGCAAATGGTTTGGATTTGATTGCTCGGAATATTTGATTCTCCGTGTCTCGTTAAAATCATGTTCTTTTCACTCCGGGGGGAAGTATTTCTCAGGGATTTGTAATTATTCGCACGGCTATATATTACGTCGGGTATTTATATTTTGTTTACTTTCTCTCTCGATTATCCTGGGTTAAAAAAAAAATTGTAATCGGAATAGTTTTTCCATATCTTTAAAATCTCTGGAAAACTTTTCGGAAAATTTTTCTTTTGAAAGAAAAAAAAATCGGGAAACAATTTTATTTTTTAGGAAATGTTTTGAAAAATTTTTCGAAAATTTGTCTCGGAAAATTTCTTTTATAATTTTCTAGAAATTTTTACGAATATCATTTTTTCTTTTAATTATATTATTGTAATCTTCTTTTTTGGATTTTTCGATATTCTCAAAAAATACGTCATTGAAATTATAAAAAAAATTCCTATTCAAGTTTTTGAAAACTTTTTCAAAACCGTTCCCAAAAATAAAATTGTTTTGTTTTCCAATTTTTTTTGTATCATAAAAAAAAATGTCTGAAAAGTCTTCCCAAAATTTTTTGAAAATCTGGAAAAAATATTCCGATTCCATTTTTTTTTTACCCGTGTACTAATAAAGAGAATTCCCGTGTATTTTTTAATCAATTCTTCCGCGTCAGAATTAAATTTGAATTCGATAAAAATATAAAAGATTGAATGAATTCAGTATCAACTCATGCCCATTAATTCTCATTAGGAGAGAATCCTAGAATCAGGTGACATTTTCTGGTAATAAGAAATCTTTTTTGTCCGAGAAAATATAATATTATCAAAAGACCGAGACAACAATGACGACATGAAAGACGAACCAACGAATCTGTCGGAAGCTCCGTCTCGCTGTCTCTTGTATATATAAAGGGATACATATATGTATATACAGGGAGAAAACTTTAGCCCAGGGGGTGACCAATGGAACTAGTCAAAAGGGAGAATGTTATATCCAGAGTTTCTTTCAACTCGAGCGCCCTTCCGTTTTCTCCACCCTGAGACGTTATACTTTGGCTTTTCCAAGTTTTCGGTTCATGTCCCAACCTACGGGAGTAACATTCAATTCTTCTCCGCGAAATTTACACTTCAATTATTATTTTTCACTTCAGAATTCGCGAATCGCGATAATTACCTCGCGATGTCATTTTCATAAGAAACTTCTAGTTCTAATTTTTAATTTTCAGTATTTATTTCCAGTAATAATTCAATGAACAATTTGATTTAGAAACAAATCCCGGAATATTGCAAATATTTATATCCAGAATTAATTTATATAATTTCAATTTGATTTCCATGTTTTGAGAATTTATCATCTATTAAAAAATCGTTCCGCAAAAAATATAATCTGCAATTTAACGGCATAAATAATTGTTGACGGTATCTCATTGAATCCCTCTTGCACCTGACTTTCTATTCATATTGCCATTAAAATATTTATTTTTCAAACGTGTACCAGTGAAAATTCAAAAGCTGAAAAAGTTATGAAAATTTGCCTAATTCAATGGATCGCGATTTCTTTGGAAGAAATGGAAGAAAACCGCGACATTGTATAGCATCTCCATCAAGGTCACGAGGTCGTCGGGTTTCCGCGGATTTCAGTATGAAAAACCCTAGGGTGTGACAGTGAATGAAATACTCGTTGAATCGAGTTCAACGTTCACACGAGTGCACAATTATATTCGACGCTCTTGATACACTCACCGTGCACCTCCCATTAGTTGCAATTGAATGAAAAAGCAGACACGAGCAAACATGGAAAATCCCACCGAGGTCTTACTAAAATGTTTTAATAATGCTTGATAGTCTGACGTTTTTCATTGGTCGACTCGCCAAATAGCATTCCATTAGAAATTCCTGGAAATATTAAGCATTCCTGCGAAATAGTTGATTTGTACTCCAAATTGTTTCATTATCTTCATATAAATCTAGAAATGCTAGTACACCGTTCGTGGACTATTAATTTGCAGGTAGAGAGAGGAATCCAGTAAAAATTATCAATCCGAAATCCGAAATTCAAATCCGAAATTTCACCGGAGTACCAGAAATTACGCGGATTAAAAACTGAAAATAACTCGCTAATTTTGTAATCATCTTTTAAAACAATATAAATTTACAATCTATTTTCCAAAATTCCATA